CCCCCCCTTAAGCCCCCCCTTAAGGTCCCCCTTAAGCCGCCCCTTCGTACGAAGGGGGTGGGCCCGGTATGGAATGACCCATGGATTTTCACCATGGAATTCCCATACAAAATCTGGCAGTTCTGCAATCTCCATCTTCGAATCATCGCGAATCATCCCTGGGGCGTTCCGGCCAGGCATTGCCGTCCTGCGGGATACCCCCGGGCGCTCGCTTTTCACTAGGAGGTTTCATGAGTTTCAATGGGATAAAAGTGGGGATTTTTCAGTTCGGATCTTTTATCCATCAAAAAGAGGATGTCGAATGGAAAAATGAGCTGTCATGGAATGATGGGAATGATTGTTGCGGGATCTAAACCATACTGATGATTTTGATCAATGACCGCTTAGCTTCAGAGATGAACGAACCCAGGTTGATCCGTCGAATCAATTTTAAAACAACATCCCTGAAAACTGAGATTGGTACCCGAAGATTGCCATGTCCAGTGCTCAAATGTCATAAAAGTTAAAGCTTTCGTGGGATAAATGATAAACCTAAATACCCTCTGGTAAACGTTTACATAACTATGGGAAATCACGATTTTCAATGGGTAAATCCACCATAAATTACCAGAGGGTAAATCCCAAAAATTGCGTAACACCTAGATCTGTATGGCTGCAATCCATCCAGACCTTGTAAAGCCTGATTTGGGGAGCATTTGTTCGACAGTAGATAGTTTATGATACTGGTTGGTGGTTTCAATCCCTCTGAAAAATATAAGTTCGTCAGTTGGCAGTATGAAATTCCTAACTGAATGGAACGTCATAAAATTCATGTTCCAAACCACCAACCAGGTAGATAGTTTATGATAGTTTGATTTTGTTGCTAAAGCCAGTTACACCATCCCCACTGCACCTCTGCTTGCTGTGAACCCAGGGAAGACAACTCGTTGTTTGCAATCATCCCGTCATCAGATTAACCGACTCAGCTGAAAATGATGCCCGACATTCGCCTAATTCTTATGCCATTGATGATTGGCACTTGATGACTCAACCAAATGCTCCATGGTGCTGGTAGATTGACCTACAAAACTGGTTGATTTTTAGGGCAAATGTTGGTAAATTTCCATACATGGAGCATATGGGACTTGATGACTGGTATCCCAATTCCATCATCATCATCATCATCATCATAATCATTGCCTATGAGCAGCCCTAACTAATACCAAACACCCCTCATAAACCATGGTTTAGGATGGTTTAGGAAGGAATTGTCCACATATTTCTTCGACCATCAATCGGGCTGCTTTTTTTTAATGGGGCAGATAAGATTCATCTTCCAGTTGATGATTTGATAATGATTGGTTTAATTAGTGGCCTTAATATTGGATTTACTAAATGTTGATCATGATTACAAAATCCTATTGCTCATATTATATAACTGGTTGGTGGTTGAGCCACCCCTCTGAAAAATATGAGTTCGTCAGTTGGCAGTATGAAATTCCTAACTGAATGGAACGTCATAAAATTCATGTTCCAAACCACCAACCAGTTAAGTATAAAAAAATCTCGATTGATGAAAATTGAGTCTTTACAATTGGATGTCATCCTATGAACAATAGGATTTCGTCATCTGATTACCCATCTGGAAATGAGTGGAAATGAATCATCAGGATTACCCATTTAAAAAAGACCCACTTAAATGACATTAGTAAGCAGTGATAAGCAGCTGATTACCCATTTTTCTGTAATCATTACTTTCCCATGATCATTTCATCTTAACAGTCTTAACAATGGCGTTTCATACGGGAAAAATGATGGCTACCCTCTGGTAAACTAACGAAAAGCTATGGAAAACCATCCATTTTTGATGGGTAAACCATGGTAAATCAACTATATCTATGGCCATGTTCCAGTTCGCAAACTGTGAGTCATTACCAGAGGGTATATTCCCATTTTCATATCCCCATTTGTGTTGCTTCAATCCCATTCATATTTACTTCTTAAAAATGGTGGATCTTTCCATAGCTTTTTGTAGGTTTACCAGAGGGTATTCCAATATCTAGCCTTTATTTCAGCTTAGTGAATTATCATACTTTACCATAGATTTTCCCATTCAATATGTGGTATGGGATATTTTCAATAGCAACTGATTGGTGGTTTCAATCCCTCTGAAAAATATGAGTTCGTCAGTTGGGATGATGAAATTCACAACTGAATGGAAAGTCATAAAATTCATGTTTCAAACCACCAACCAGGTGATGTATATTCTGGTTGAAGGTTGAAGGTAACAAACACTCAGATGCTGAACATTCCCAGAAATGGGGATGTGTGATGTCTGCTTCAATCCATGAAATATGTGGTATGGGCTATTTTCAATAGCAAAACAGTTGGGATTATTATTCCATTCCCAACTGAATGGAAAGTCGTAAAATTCCATGGTTCCAGTCACCACCAACCAGATAAATCACTGTTAATCCCTAGAAAATCCCTAAAAAAAATCCCTCGAAAATTCCCATGGATGTTCCAGTCACCAACCAACCTACCATCTGAAATGACCAGAGGCTTTTTTTCAGCTACTCCACCGGCTCCATGGCCCGCCCCTCCTGCAGCCATCACGGGACTTCGGAAATGCTGTGCCTCAGGGCGGTGCCCGGCAGGGAAATCCCTGCAGAAAAATGGCGAATTTCATGGGACAATCCCGGCAGGAAATGACGATTTGAGTATTGAAAAATGGGAAAGTCATCTATTTCTATTGGAGATTGTTCGTCGCCGAAATCTGCAGGAAACTTAAGTATGATTTGGAATGGTTTAAGTGGGAATCTATGGTTTGGAATGGTTTTAGGGGAATTGCTTTGACCCCAAGATTGAATGGGGGTGTCCGGTGTCAATTTCCCATCATCGATGCTGAAAAATCATGAAGGAAAGAGTGGTATTCATAAAGATATCATAGAGATAGAGCCACTGTGGCAATTAATTATTAGTATCTGATATTCAACTTGCACAAATAAGAGATACGAACCAATCTTGCCAACAGTAAACAGTCATTCTGCAGTGATGTTCATGAAAAATACCTTGCAGGTGGTTTCAACCCCGGGATCCTCGGATCTGACAACCCGAATTGTCTGCGAGATTAGCAATCGCTTCTTGGTGGTAACCTAACTAATTACCCAGGATTTTCATATATCTGGGTAAATTATAATGAGATTTCACTAACCTGAATTGTTGGGCCATTTGGGGATGATTTCCCTAAAATAAACCATGATGAACCAGGGCTCGGGAGAACAGTGAGGTCCATATAATTCACCCAGATACTCCCATGAACTAGTTCGTGAAATATCTATCATAAACCATTCAAGATGTGGGCCCATTAATGTTACAGTATACCCGGCCTGGTCAACATACAAAAAGCTATTGATAATGGCCCATTTATACTTCAGTTACCTATTGAAGATGGTGATTTTCCATAGCTACAGTATGTTAGTTTACCAGAGGTTATACCAATATATAGCCTGAATTTCAGCTTAGTGATTTACCATAGATTTACCATAGATTTTCCCATCAAATATCGGGTTTCCTGTAAAAAAAAATCTTAAACCAATCCATTGACACATTGATTATGGCCACATTCACCAGCCGCTCAACTCGTGACATTCTACGGCCCAATCACCGTCGCCCAGCGGCCCAATCTCTGCTCGGCCATCGCAACAGCAACTCCTTGCGGTAGAGCCTCGCTGCTGCGGCTGATTTGAAGGTTTCTTAAGTCATGGGGGTTCCATAGGTTTCCATAGGCTTCCATAGGTTTCAATAGGTTTCAATATGTTGCCATAGGTTTCCATAGGTTTCAATAGGTTTCCATAGGTTTCCATAGCTTTCAATACTGAGTCATGGTCATGACTTGGATGATTTGGGGTTGCCCTATGACTTGGGACACCTCCGTCCTAACTCTGGATTTCATCATCAAAAATGGTGCTTCAAGCAGCAAAAATTCAGACTTCATGAATGAATATATATACATATATGTATATATATATATGTATATATATATATATGTATATATATATAGTGGAACTGCAATGTAGACGAAAATCATCCAAAATCATCCAAAATCACTAACACTTAGCCCTGTAAAATGACGATTCGTATGCAAATCATCCGGAACCTTCAACCCCCCGTTGGCAGGAAAAGAAGCCATCGAGCGGGTCCCAGAAACTGCGCTTTGTGGAGTCGCTTTGGGGCATCAAGTGTTGATGTGATTTGATGCTGGAATTCTCTGGTGGTTTCGTTTCAATTCTTGCCCAAAATCTCTGTGAATTCTGATTTCATCACAGAAAATTTTGGAAAACCCATGACTCCTCCCGATTCCACTTGGAAAAACCTATAGTATCTGAAGTCACCAAGTCGTTCAATGCCAATTCTCTGTTGATGCTGCTGGTTTCCCAAATTCGTTTTTGTTCAGCTCAAGTTATAGCCGTTATAGCCTGCACTATCTATACACACCCTTCAACGAACATGCAGTAGATGTGACAATGTGGAAAACATGTCAAGATACATATCATTTACCCTCTGGTAAACTAACATAACTGTGGGAAATCACCATTTTTAATGGGTAAACCCACTATAAATGGCTATTTTCAATAGCTTTTTGTATGTTTACCAGAGGGTAAACGTTTACACCGATGTGGAAAATGTTCCATCGCCATGTCCAGATCATTAAAACCGCACGGAAGAAACCGATGGATTTGCACATCGATGTTGACGATTCATCCCTCACCGGCCCTAACCGGCCGGTCAATCTTTGTCCTCATTGGCAAACCATGGCAAACAACTGAAGGATATTTTACTACCTATCCTTCTGCTTGGGGATGTACATACCCTGCTCATCTCCAAAAATTTCATGGTTAAAAACCACGATTTCTTATCGATTTTCTATATGTCATGGTTGAACCATGGTAAAAACATGGTTACCCTCTGGTAATTTAACAGTTTGCTATGGAAAATCACCATTTTTCATGGGAAAACTCACTATTTCTATGGTCATTTTCAATAGCTATTTTGACATAACCAGAGGGTATATCCCATTAAATCCCATTAAACTACCATTTTCCTATGGTTTTCCCATTGAACCATGGTTAAAACATGGTGAAACCACCATTTTTCCGCCTTTTTCCCCAGGTTTTTTCCACCAGCGACCTCCGGTTTTCACCCACCCCCTGGGGCTCCACCACTCTGCCGGCAACATCCAGGCCAATGAGCCGCTGAACACATCGCTGCCTTGGTTGGCCAATTGACCGGACAATGCTGGGGAAAAACGACGAAAACCGTGGAAAATTGGTGAAAACTGGTGGTTACTTACCCTCTGGTAAACATACAAAAAGCTATTGAAAATGGCCCAGTCGAAATAGTGAGTTTTCCCATTAAAAATGGTGATTTTCCATAGCTATGTTAGTTTACCAGAGGGTAAGTTATTACAGTAGAACTTGGGTAAAAATGCATAAAAATGTTGGTTGTACGAAGAAAATGGGTGGTTTGACCTATCATCAATTCCGGGAAAGTATCAAAACTTGAGGGGTGAACAATCAAAAACAGATGGTGGACCAAACAAAAACATATGGAGACTTGGTTTGTCAATGGATTGATGTTTAGGAAAGTTTATAGGAAAACGATGATTTTAACGGTGAAACTTGTTGGGATGTCCAGTTTCAATTTTCCCTTCAATTCCAGGAACCAAGCATTGGGTGTTTCCACATTTGTTTTTCCCGCTATTTTCCAGTTGTTGAAAGTTGAATCCCACATTGACTGGTAATTTTCCCGATTTTTGATGGTTAAATCATGTTAAATCATGTTCAAAAGCATCTGCCGTCCCTTGATTAAGAAAGGATTTCCCAGTTCATGGATTGAGATAATCCCCAAGTAATCTTGGATATGAAAAGCCAAAATTATCATAAATCACCCATTGTTTATCCCCATACTGTGGATGGAAGAATCCTGCACCAGTTGAAAACGGTGGTAAACATCCCATTATTCATAGGGTTTCAACCAACCTTTTGGTGGTGCAGAATTTCGCAACCACCCACCGTATGTTAGCCTTTTGAAACATGGTAAATCCCGATATATAAATCCCTATATCTCCAGATGATGGTTAAAACATGTTCAAAACCCTATAAATCATGGTGAAATCACCATAAAACTACTTGTGCTCAGCAATCAGAACAATGTGGTGCCCCCGAAGATAGCTAAGTCGGCTTCTCACCCATCAAATATATATATATATATTATATATATATATGATATATGTATATATCTATCATAAGTCCTAGTTATTAGAATTATGTTCACCAATATATGACTATCCCGTGATTATCCTATGGCAACTTTATATTTTTCACCAGACTCGTTAAACTGACTCTCTCTGCAAATGAAAATCGTTTCAGTTTTGTCAAATACCCTCTGGTAATTTAACGTAGCTATTGAAAATGGCCATTTATAGTGAGTTTTCACATTAAAAATGGTGATTTTCCATAGTTATGTTAGTTTACCAGAGGGTAACGTTCGAAGTGCTTGTCTGTCACGGTAAAGTATAAAAAAATCCGTTGATTCTCCCATCCTATGAAATCATCCCTATTAAACCATACTTGAGAAGGGGAACACGAAAGGTAGGTGATCAAGAAGGGGAAGCAAAGCCTCTCCGTGTAAAAGTTTTGCTGTGTGTAAAAGCGTGCTGTGTGCACAAGCTTCTCTGTGTAATAGTTTTATAGTTTTTCTGTGTAAAGGCATCTGTGTGTAAAAGCGTCTGTTTAAAAACTGCTGTGCATAATGACTTCTATGCGTAAAGGCTTCTGTGCGGAAAAGTTTCTGTGCGTAAAAGCTGCTCTGGGTACAGTTTCTGCGTGCAACAGTTTCGGTGTGTAAAAATTTCTTTGCGCAGTCTGTGTGGACAAGTTTTTCTGTGTCAAAGCTTTTCTGTGTAAAAGTTTCTTTGTGTAAAAGCTGTTCTGTGCAAAGGTTTCTCTGTATTCTGTGTAAAAAGGTTCTATGTGTAAAAGTGCCTGTGTGCCTTTATTTATGCGTGCAAAAGCATCTTTGTGCAAAGCAATGGTGGGTAAAAACTTCTGTGTGTAAAAAATTCTTTGCGTAAAAGCCTCTGTGTGTAAAGGCATCTGCATGTAAAAGTTTCTCTGTGCACAAATCTCTCTGTGTAAGAGTATCTGCGCATAAAAGCTGCTCTGTGTAAAGGTTTCTGTGCGCAACGTCGTCTGTTAGAAGCCTATCGGTGCAAAATGCGTCACAACAGCAAAGTTGCAAAAAACATCAAAAAACAATGAAACATGAATACCATTATAAATATATTATAATATAAAATAATGATATATAAAAGAATGCAAACTCAAATGCTTGCTGTCATTATGTTGTTGATGATGGCGGTGATGCGCGCAAGGCCCCACAAGGCGTCATATTGGATGTATTAAGCCAATGTTTGAAAGCCTTCGCGACAAAAAATACTGCAAAGTTCGATGTGTTTGGCGCCTCACAGGCCAAAAACCACGGTATTGTTTCTGTTGTTGCTGTTGTTGTTGGTGGTGGTGGTGATGGTGGTGATGGCTGTGGTCGTTGTCGTTGTCGTTGTCGTTGCTCTTTTTCTGGTGGTTGTGGTTGTTGTTGTTGTTGTTGTTGTTGTTGTTGTTCTTCTTCTTCTTGTTCTTGTTCTTGTTCTTGTTGTTCTTGTTGTTCTTGTTCTTGTTGTTCTTGTTGTTCTTGTTGTTCTTGTTGTTCTTGTTGTTCTTGTTGTTCTTGTTGTTCTCGTTGTGGTTCTTATCCCTGCAGCTTTTTTCTCAGTCTCGTGCTGGCCGAAAATCGTCAAATACATGTTGTTTTTGCGTTTTATTGAGAACCTCGGAGAAAAAAACCTATAAATACGGATGTTTTTTGCGCCTCGGAAGCCCAAAACCACGGTATTTACGACGATGTGTTTTGCTTCTGGTAGCAAAAACCATAGTATTTACAGTGTTTTTTGGACAGCACCGAGCAAAAACACTGGTATTTACGCAGTTTTCGGCATGTTGCAAGAAGTGATTGTTCCATGCAAAAGTCACAAAACCCATGTAAATTACAGTGTTTTGGGTCTGCTTTTGGGCTTTGTGTCGGGGTGGAGGGGGGGTGGTATCTAAAATGAGCAGCAACCTCCTGAATAATCAGGTAACTGGGCTGGCCACCCTCTTACTTCGTAAAGCAAAACGACCAAAAAACACCTCCATTTTCGCCGTAATTGCCAGGAGCCCGCGCGACTGAGACCTGTCAGGTCCGCCGCGAAGGGAGCAGGACAGTTCTCGTTCCAGGCACTGATGCACCACAGCGTGGGGTCCTGCGGAGATCGGGAAAAGATATGGAAAAATGGGGGATGGTACGAATGAAAAGCCATGGGAAAGCCCCATTTTAACAGGGGGATGTCACCAAAAATGGAAAAAATGTGACTTTCCCAGTGACCATGGTTCCATGGTCTTGTTTCGTCGTGTTTTTGACTGGAGAAAATCCGGTGAGCGATAGAAAAATGGAATTCAACCATGGGGAAATAGTGATGTTATCAGTGATTTATTCAAGATCTGGCAATGAAACATGATTATTTTGCCAAGAAAAAAATGTTACCATCTGGTTATGACATTGCCAGTTCGCCATGGAAAGATCCACCATTTTCCATAGGTAAACCATCGAACTTTCGATTAGGGCCATGGCTTAAACATGGCAAACTGTTAGTCATAACCAGAGGGTAATTGCACCTAAAAGGATGATCTTACCGTGGTGAAAATCTCGGGATTTTACCATCAAATAAGGTTGATGTTTTTTTCTAGCGGTGAAAATATAGGGTTTCTACCATCAAATATGATGGGTGATTTTACAAACGGAAATGGTGGTTTTACCAATGAAACCGGGAGTTGGGATTTGGCAATGAACAATTTCGATTTTTTGCACAAACAAATTGAATCATACAAACCTAAAAAATATGTCAAAGTTATCAGCAAAAAAATGGTTTTAAGCATGAAACAATGTGGTTTAAGCATGAAACAATGTGGTTTTAGGAACTATCAAGATTGGGATGTGTTGGGTGTATTTTATTATATAGGTAGGGCCGGAAGTTTTTGAAGATAGAATGTGGATGGATCCACGTTCTAAGTGCAGAAAAAACATGTCTAGCAGGTACATGTACAACATGTTATATGATGTTATATGCATATAGATATCATGTACATCACATGTGTAGATATCGGAGATCGTTTGTACCACTAGTACTATTAACTGGCATCTAAGGGCTCCACACATCACGGGATCATCCGTCGGAAGTGATTCTCCAACTGGGAAAATCGTCAAGAAAATACCAGAGGCTCTACTTTTCAAAGAAAATTCCTGCATGTCCCATGCAGTTTCTGTCTATTGCCTGACCATATCAACAAGTTATATCAGTTATATCCCACTATGTCCACATTATGTCCTCAGAGGGTACCTACATATACATAGCTAAGCCTCATTAGCACCAATATCTCGCTACTGTGCACTTTGAGCATCATCCCTCATGTAGCAGTTGGTACCCAATATTTGCAAATCCCCCTGGGGTTCTCCCATTGATAGCCGGTGCATTTGGATCAGAAGCGAAGTTACGAAGTCATGACCCCCACAATGAGGGCCCCATGTTTGAAGCCCGGCAGTGGAATTCACAGCGGTTTCGTGTGGCTCTTCTACGCCTCACTGGGTTGTTTTCAGGGAACATGTGCAGGAAACCAGTTTTCGCCAACTATGACGCTTGATGCTTTCCTGCAAAAAGAATCCTTCTAATCTGAGAGTTTCTTGGATAAATAGATGAACTGGCAATAATTCAATGGGAATTTCAGGATCCTAAAATGGAGGTACTGTACCATATTTGGCCATATTTTCTGGGGATATTCCCTTACATAGGCCTTCTTCTTCGGCCTTAAAAAAATGGTAGGTACCTCCAATCAATCGGTTCAACCGTTGCATGGCCATTGAATAATGATCATCAACCACCAGTGTTTTCTCCTATTGTCCTCCTGTAGCAGCGGTTCCAGCTGGGCAAAGTACCACAACAGGTCCTCGATGTTTTTTGGGATTTCACCCAAAAAATCTTGGTTGGTGGTTTTTCGCCAACCCCTCTGAAAAATGATGGAGTGAGTTCGTCAGTTGGGATGATTATTCCATTCCCAACTGAATGGAAGAAAATGCAATTCATGTTCCAGTCACCACCAACCAGATATATTGTTATTCCAATTATTAACCATAGATTAACCATAGATTAACCATAGATTAACCATAGATACCAGTGATTATTAACCATCATTAACCATCAAGATTATGTGGATTTCTGGGAAACAAGTGATGAAAACGGAGACTTCACCAACAAGAGCTTGGATTTACTGATGAAAAAATGATGGCTTCCATGTGGATGTTCGGCTAGAAAAAGTCAAAACCGAGCTAAAAACATGGGAAAAAAAACGGAAAATCTGGGTTTTTTTTCCCGGAACAACAGGGATTTCAACATCTGAAAATGGTTGCTCAAAGATGACCAACATCTCTGGTTTTCGATAGAAAAAAAGGCCCATATCCCTTGAAGAGTAGCGTCAAATGCCAAGCCTCTGCCAAGCTGGAAGTTCCTCTCAGTTTCCAAATATGTTTTTTCGAGGTAAACCAGCACAAACCAAGAAGATATACCCTCTGGTTATTTAACATAGCCATGGAAAATGGCCCATTTATAGATGGTTCACCTATTAAAAATGGTGATTTTCCATGGCTATGTTAAATAACCAGATGGTAGCTCCAATACTGCTCTGTACAAGCAAGATACATAATGTGCGCAACCCAAAGCCATAAATCCCAAGTTAGCCCAATTTTTACCACAGATGGGTGCCCCCAGTGGGATTACCCGTGAAAGATCGAAACTTGGCCGCCCAACGTTGGCAGCTTCCATGTCTTCTTCGACCTATGAGGAAAGGTCGAAATACGAGAGGCAAAACGGTGGCACAAATGGAACCGTTATTAATGTGGTTTTGATGTAAACCCAAGTACTTGACCAAGCTCAAAGCCATTTTGAAAGTTTGGAACTTGGTTTATTTCCAAACTACCCTCTGGTAAACAAACAGTTTGCGAACTTGAAAATGGCCCAGTCGAAATCGTTGATTTACCCATGACAAATTGTCATGTTCAATAGCTTTTTGTAAACGTCTACCAGGCCGGGCAATGCTCATCAGCTAACTTGGAAGGATCGACCATCAAGACCATTGGGGATTTCAACACAAAAACACCCTGCGAAGCCAAGAAGCCCAAAGTTGGGCCATATCCACTACGTTTTTTTTCATGGATAATCATGGATAATCATGGAACTGGGATCCCTTTTTTTTTTAAGGTTCCACGCGTTCCATGTAGGGGGTGTACATCCCATCGAATCCCATTAACAAAATTAAACTAACCAGAAAATCCAACAAGAATCCTAGAAACTCCGAAAACAATTGAGGGGAAATCCCCTAAACTCCCCCGAAAATTCGAGTGTATCCTCGATTCTTGAGGTCTACCAGATCATGACCAGGCCCCAGACCAGGCCCCCACACCACCAGCAATGAGCGCGCGGTAGGGAAGCGCTTGTACAAGGCGTAGGAGATCGCTTCTCGGTAATGCCTAAGCTGCGGCTAGGCTAAAATCCACCTGGCATCCGCTGGTGGTTCCATCGGTTCTGTTGGAGTTGACCATGAAAAAGTGCTGGTTGAACACGGTTTTACCATCAAGCAATGGGGGGTGTTTTTTTCACGCTTGGGATCATTTGAAAAACATATGGAACCATATGGATATCATCATATGCTTCCAAGTTTTCTGAAGTGAACATCAGTAGCTCCAGTCGACGTCGATTTTTACATCTCTCGGGGCCGCCAACTCAGTGACTCGGGCGTCAAAGTCAAGTAGGCTCTCTTGATCATGAAGCACCTGAGCCACAGATACCCTGGATCTCTGGAGATCCCCTGGCCATGGTCCAATTGGTCCATTGGTAACCATGGCCGTGTTTACCGTGTTTCAAAGCAGGGGATGCTTTGAAGAAAATCGACTCCAAACCTGTGGATGGGCCTGCGAAATCACCAGTGAATAGATGGTTGATGGTTATCCCATTATTTTGTTGGGCTTTCAACCATCTAAAATTGGTGGTGCAGGAGTTCGCTGGCCCATCCACAGTGTCAAAGCCCAAAACAGTTCGAATGGAGCGGGTTCCCCAGGAAACATTGGATACATCAACCGAATATGGTGAAACATCAGTTATTGATGCTTTTCAGACTGGAAATGAAATTTTGATATCGTCTTACGAATATCTGGCAATAAATCAGCATAACTTTGTTCCGAGGGCAGCAATGTGACAACAAACCAAAATCCTGATTTTTGTTGGTATGGCATCCCAGTTTAATTGGTTAGGTTCCAATTTTTGATATATGTCAAAATTGGGTACCCCAATCATTAGCATATAGTACAATTTGTGGTCCCACAGGGCCATAGGGCTCTTAAATTTTGACACATGAACATGTGTCTGGGCAAATTTTGCGTCTGGGCAAATTTTGCTAATTCGCTAACCTGAAATGTTGGGCCATTTTGGGATGATTCCCCTTATTAATAAACCATGATTCCAGGGTTCGGGAGAACAGGCTTCGGTCGTTAGAATTTGCCCAGATTTCTTGAGATTCCCCATGTTTTCAACCGGCGCGGCTCATGGTTTTCCCAGTTCACTGAGTGGACCGACCCAAGCAACTTTGAACAATTCTTCTGCAACCTCGGCCGGTTGCCCCCTAGCAATTTCTAACGAATAAACGAGGCCTGGGGGCGATGACCTATTATGACCTGGGAGCCACGGAAAATTTCACAGGTCAAATGACCCATTTAAAATGGGGCTTTCCAATGGCCCCATTTGATGACCGGAGGGTACCCCCATGAAAATTCATCAAGCGGTTGTGTGATGGGCACATATGGGCAAAAGGGTTTCATCAGCGACGCATGGGCTTCAAGAATTCCTTGGTATCTGAAACCTCGGCCACCTAAGGTGTGTAATGTCGGTATGCTTCGTCTGTAAATAAAACAGTCGACGTAAAGTGGGCATGAGTGACTTTTTGGGAAGCTTTTTGATTGTTTTTAAAATACAGTTTTCATCCTGGTTCAAATGTTATTGACTACCGTCAGCCTCTACTACTACCAAATATCGGGGCTTCGTACTTTGCAAGTCGTACCCTTCTGGAACTTCTCATTGCCAAGTTATGATAAGTTCAACACCTTGAACGGTAAATTAAATAGACAGCAAATGAACTGCTTCGCTTACTAATCTGACATCAAGCATTCATATAACCAGAAAAAAATATGGTCGGGATTTGAATGTTGGAAATCAACAATTTGAAAATCCATCTTGAATTTCAGGAAGTGCTTATCAAGCCTGGTCATCTAACTGGTCCTCACATACCCTGTTTTTAGTGTAACCATCTCAAACTCCATCCAAGCGGGAAAGAAAAAATGCCGCTACAGTGGGATGTCTTCTGTTCGTGAAATCCCAATGTGATGTACCCTCTGGTAAACTAACATAGCGACCTGAAAAATGGACCATTTAGTGGGGTGATTTACCTCTTCAAATAGTGATTTTCCATCGCTTTTTGTAGGTCTACCACAGGGTACCACTATAGTAACCACTATCAACCACTAGTATTCACCATTAACATCCATTAACCATCATTGACCATCATTTTGGTACCAATCACCTTGGGTTTTCCCCATGTATACTATATATAGTGAATCTGTCCGATGTGTCCCCATTCTTAGTCGTTCAATACCTACCCAGGCGCCCAGGCTTTTGATCGTTGCACCAGGTGAAATGGAGATTTCTGTAGTTATACAACTCACATGTATATATATATATATATATCAAAGTACATCCCCAAGTCTTCTTGTTGCACAATCAGTTCTGCTTATAATCGTCATACATACATACATACATACATTACATACATACATTACATACATACATTACATACATACATACATACATACATAACATTACATACATACATACATACATACATATCCATATATATATACATACATACATATATATATATATATATGTAGGTATACATCTATATTATAGTTATATATTACAATTATATATCATATATTATATATTATATTATATATATATTATATCATATATATATATCATATATCATATATTCATACTATCTTATATTATCCCCATCATGCGCCAGGTCACATCCCCAGAGCCCAAATAGGTCCATCCAGGTGACCCATTGCGCGCGCGAATCTGCACCGTCCTGGCGAAAAAACTCGGCGGAGTCCACCTGTTTTGAACGTGGGTTTTCCTTGAATAACATAGCCATGGAAAATGGCCCATTTATAGTTGATTTACCTATTAAAGATGGTGATTTTCCATAGCTTTTTGTAGGTTTACCAGAGGGTATTCCAATATCTAGCCTTTATATCAGCGAATTAACATAATTTATCATAGATTTTCCCATGAAATATATGTGGTATGGGCTATTTCAATAGCAACTGGTTGCTGGTTTCAACCCCTCTGAAAAATATGAAAGTCATTAACCATCATTATATAACCATCATTAACCACTACTAGCCATCATTATTAACCACTATGAGTGGTAAACTAACATTACTGGTTGGTGGTAAAACAATCCAAATGTTCCAAACCACCAACCAGACTGTCATATGAATGTCATATTCATGTCTTCATGTTATGAAAACTAGAAAATTTTCCAGTTACTCATATGTTCATTAATATCATCAAATTTCCAGTTACCTATTAATGAAAATGTCAGTAACTGGAAATATATGTGATTGATATTATCATGTTGATAACTATTTTTCGCTCGTGTGAAACTATAACAATTATGAAAATGGTCATGGTGGGTTTTCTGGGTCAAAACCCTCGGACCCAGATGGTACCATAAGTTGAAACCATAAGTCATAGCTGGTGAATGGATGTAGATTCCCCCAAAAAAAATGGTAATTTCATACTTGATGTTGATCCCAAAAAAATGGTAAGTAGGTTGTAACCCTGGTTGTTTCTATGGGAGAAGGGGCAATGTCCACTGGAAAAAACTGGGAACTAAGCCACTTACGATCCGTGGCATGAACCACCAAGTATGCTTATGTAAAAAATTACTGGATAGTAAGAACAACCATCAGGGATTGAATCCCATCTTCCTGATGAAATTCCCCCGTTTTTACGGAGTCCATGAATGGACATAAAACCTCAGTTTCATCTGGGGGTAGTTAGTGTTACTGGGAAGGGATTGCCGACAATAAATGGAAAGATCATTGGAATATCATATCGTTGTGACATCCACATGGACTGTAGAGTGTTGTCAATACATAATATCCGGTTGGTGGTTTCAACCCCTCTGAAAAATATGAAAGTCATTAACCATCATTATATAACCATCATTAACCACTACTAGCCATCATTATTAACCACTATGAGTGGTAAACTAACATTACTGGTTGGTGGTAAAACAATCCAAATGTTCCAAACCACCAACCAGACTGTCATATGAATGTCATATTCATGTCTTCATGTTATGAAAACTAGAAAATTTTCCAGTTACTCATATGTTCATTAATATCATCAAATTTCCAGTTACCTATTAATGAAAATGTCAGTAACTGGAAATATATGTGATTGATATTATCATGTTGATAACTATTTTTCGCTCGTGTGAAACTATAACAATTATGAAAATGGTCATGGTGGGGTTTCTGGGTCAAAACCCTCGGACCCAGATGGTACCATAAGTTATAACCATAAGTCATAGCTGGTGAATGGATGTAGATTCCCCCCAAAAAAATGGTAATTTCATACTTGATGTTGATCCCAAAAAAATGGTAAGTAGGTTGTAAGCCTGGTTGTTTCTATGGGAGAAGGGGCAATGTCCACTGGAAAAAACTGGGAACGAAGCCACTTACGATCCGTGGCATGAACCACCAAGTATGCTTATGTAGAAAATTACTGGATAGTAAGAACAACCATCAGGGATTGAATCCCATCTTCCTGATGAAATTCCCCCGTTTTTACGGAGTCCATGAATGGATATAAAACCTCAGTTTCATCTGGGGGTAGTTAGTGTTACTGGGAAGGGATTGCCGACAATAAATGGAAAGATCATTGGAATATCATATCGTTGTGACATCCACATGGACTGTAGAGTGTTGTCAATACATAATATCCGGTTGGTGGTTTCAACCTCTCTGAAAAACATTAGTCAGTTGGGATTATTGTTCCCAATATATGGAAAAATAAAAATGTTCCAAACCACCAATCAGATATAGATTTATGTAATACCAGCTTCAGAGAGCCCGCTGGTTATTTTAGAACCGAATACCAGGGCTTGTTTATATAGATCTTCCTTAGAGCAATTCTGGGCATCTGGCTGGTAAATAGTTTCGTCGAAGAAATGGGGCTGTACTCAAATAGCGATCAAAACATTGTGAATGTGATTGCCCAAACCATTCGGTGGGGTCGGGATGAATTATGCGGCCCCCCTCTTGTTGTTTGGTGGTTTCATTCTGCAGCTATCTGTAGATATTTACATCATCTACATTCGCATGTTGGTTGCAGCCCCAGTATTTGGGCAAGAGTGGTACCTGGCTGAATCGTGTTCTTATCTACGAACCTGAAAAGTTGGCTGATTTTGGGATGATTGCCCATCTTCATCCTCATCTATAGGATAAATTGTAATCCCAAAAAAATGCTGAAAAGTGTTTCAAGGATGTTCCAGAAAATGGTTCCTCCATAGTTTTCAGGTTTCCAACTTTCCTATCTATTTAGGAGTTGCTATATGTATGCATATACTAATGTATGTATATATATAATTCAAGTAGGGTGGACACATTATTGTTATGAAAGTATACTGGGGCAAAAAAGAGGAAAAAAGGTGGTTGGCCTGCCTTCCAATGATCATCTGGCACGGCACTGAACCCAAAAAACTATGCATTTGCAGATGATCTTCCAGTTTGGTACTTGTCAAGGGATTGATTTCAAGACTGTTTACAGAAAACAGTGGTTTGAACCCATAAATGAAAAGAATTGAGAAGATATATATATATATACATATATAAAGGAATTCCTTCAGACTTTCTTTCAACATCCTTCAACCAACTCTTGGAACCTCAAGATTCCCATTTGCCACTGTGCTGATGTATCATGTTAGCTTACCACTAGTAAAAAGAATCTCAGTCACCGGTGTCAGGAACCTCTTCCCCATCTGTCCACAAGTCAAACGGTATTTTGTCCATGGGAACAGCCTCTCTGCCTCTCAGAGGCGTGTTTCTTTGCTTCCAGGAGCTTCTATCATTCGGAGCTGTGGCTGGAAATTGTAGGAAAACCCCCCAAAGTTGATGATTTATCATCTCTTCCCCATTGAAATAACATGAGCTAATCGTATTGGACTGGTATTCCCATTTTTGGAGAAAACCGTGTACTGGCAACACAACTTGGTTTGTCTCAAGACATTGGGGGATCTACATGGATGTACCCGTTTGGCACACCGCTTGAGACACAGCCACTTCAGACCGACATCTGATCATCATCTCAGCATCTCAGCATTGCTCCAGTAACTAGCAGTACCCTCGGGTCGTCAAACATTGCAATCAAAAATCCTCCATTTATAGAGATGATGTTCCTTTCTTAGCTTCATGATGCTTCATTGATATTCATTTATGGGAGATTTCCCAGCCAGCCACCGTTTGATTTCCCAAGGATAATCAACATTGCTGGATTCTTGTGTCGAGCGTCGCAAGAATCAACTCTTGTGGTTGATCAGCAGGAACCTGGTAACACTTGCGCCAGACGCGGGCCGCGCGGCATGGCTACAGCTTTCCGAAGACTGGTCCAAGAAAATCGTGGATGGTCCATCTCCGAAGACTGGTCTCTGTGAAGATTGCAAGGTCCCAGCCTCATGTGAGCTAATGCGGTTCGCACGACTGATGGGAGGGTCATGTGGCCCAAAGATCATCCAGCCCCCAATGGAACCCCAAACTAGTGATGAAGAATTCTTCAAAATAGTGTCCCTCCTGGGGAAACCAAAGGTTGACAAAATACTGGGTTGAATTCTTGGGACATCCTGTGAAAAGAGAAAACGTTTAAGCATCATCCAACGCTCCATGGATTCTTGTCAGTTGGGTGAACACATATGACATCATTTGACATGTGTCCGTGTGTTTTCATACAAATGGGGTTGTGAGCAACAAGAGATTCATCAAAGCTTCTGAGCCATGAGTCAGTAGCTCATTTGAACGATGGCCTCAGTTCTTCCATGGCCAAGGAAGACAATTCCATGAAGTTCGCTCCTTTCGTCTTCTGTTGGCATCGGAGCACGGTCTGCGGAGACAGGGGATGACCCCCAAAAAAAAGATATTATGCCATTACCCTCTGGGCACCTTCGTTCAAAGTTTCGTTGGAGGTTGAAACCAATTGCCGGTTAGAAAAAAGTCAAGGTCATTTATAGAGCGCAAGTTTATGACTGGGATGGTGCAGGACTGACAGCAAATTATCAAACAATCATTGGGTAAACATCCTGTGGTTGCTGGTTGAGCCAACCATCACAGAAAATGACAGTTTGATCAATCATCCAAAGCATCATTGGAATGGATTTAAACGTCGAAGTTGCATGAAACGACCAGCAAGAACAAATGAAATCAAACTTTGGATTGGGGTTCGAGTTCTAATGGTTGCTGGAAAAGAATTCGAAGAATAACTACATAGTCTACATTGAACTATGTATTCAAACCCCCAAAGAAAAAGGACAGCCACCAACCCCGAGGGTCCACAACGAGTACTTTGTGATTTCCGCCTGCTCGACAGCATGTCCTCGAATTTCACCACCCATTTGCGCAACCTTTGATTTGACACCTCGAACTGCCTGCATAGCCTGGTCGTTGGTTTTGAAGGGGTTCTTGGGTCGATCGGACTGGAAGTTCTTCGCAAAAAAGGTGGCGCTCCGCGGAACGACATCTATGTCTCCACTCTCCCCGCGTACCTGCAGGGTGGTGCCTCAGGTCGTTAGCGAAGTTCATTCATGACTCCAATAACTATAGCTACTCTAGTTGATATGTGTGTGCAGTTTGTATGTATATATACAGTATATTCATATGATTGATTGTTTTTACAGTAGATAATTATCTATAGTCTATAGTTTTATATTATATTACATATGGTATATATAATATAATCAATCAATGTGTATATATAATTATATATTATACATATATAATATTCCATAATCATCTATAGTAGATGGAGTGTCCAAACCAACTTACAACTATCAGGGAACCTGAAGTTGTGCAAGCATGTTGAACCCTCGAACGAACCTAAGGAGCCTAAGCCTCTGAAGATCCATGTCTGTTCATGTTGGTTCTCCATAATTTGTAGCAACCATGTATTTCCTTCAATGGCCAGAAAAATGAAATACACACATATTTCTTGGCAGTAGGTTCCATGTCTTCCCGCAGTAGAGTAGCCCAGAACAACCCTCTCTTTTTGAGTTGGTGCATATTATCCCCAGTCTGTGAATTGAAATGGATTGGAGGGTTGTGAGATATCCGTTATTAGTGAGTTATTATGCGTCCAATCGCCGAGAATGTTGGTGAATTAACGTGAGTTGAATATAATGATGCATCAGTATCAGTCCCAAATGATGTTGATTTGAGAAATTTTGACCACGTCCATGCCTTATGGATGTTGTCTGTCTGCACCACATTGGGAAAGCGCCGCTGCAACGCCTTCGTCAAGGGTGGCCGGTCCGCCTCGGTCAAGGGCCTTGGACCCATAATCTTCACATCTCCATCTGAGGACCTTGATTGCGTCCCTTTGGCGCGAGATCCGACCTAGTTGGGTCACAGTTGGCGTGAGCAGTGGCACTGTCTGGAAACCGGCCTACAAACATGAATCCTAGAGGGCGTGTGATAAATTCGTATAAATTCATACAATCCGCAAGATCAGCTCGGGGGGGTCTGGCCACTGCTATTTGAGCTACAGTAGGTTTGTACCGGGTGAAGTTGAACATCCCCACTTGTGGGTTCCTATGCTCACTTACACAATCTTACATACCTATAGAAGATCTTAGAATTTTGATCTCATCACTCCAGAGCCTTGTGGAGCTGGAACTCTCCTCCCAAAGCCTCATGAACTGCTTCTACCGCCTTCTTTACGTCTCTTCCATACGCAGCTTTCTGCTGAGGAGTCCGGGAAGCCAAGCAGTTCAGCTGATGTTCCCTCTGGCCCATCTCCTTCTTTGCATCCCGCTGCGCGGCCAAGTCGCGATCATAGGCACGGTTGTTGGGGTTCAAGGCGTTCGCCCTTGCATCATTGGCTGCCTTGGCCCCAGCGCATGGAGCCCTGCCTTTTTTCGCCATGGCCCATCAAATGCCCAGATTGCTCACGACTCATGAAGAATGGTGACAAGGTGGCTGTAGAAGTTTTATGCTTCACTGTTCGACATCAGTTTGTGTCGGTGAATTTCCTCATTTGTTGCTCTTTCAATGCACTCTTTACTGTTTAGATCTCCATGAGGATCCCATGATTCAATCGCATATGATGCCATCTTGCGGTGATGAATAAGTCCCCCATTTCTTAAGACAACACTGTTTTTTTGGGCCATTTTGAATGGATTCCCTGTTCATGGATAGTGGTAATCCCAAAATCAATATAAATTGATAGATACCCTCTGGTAATTTAACGTAGCTATGGTAAATCACCATTTTTGATGGGAAAATCCACGAACTATAACAACATTTTCAATAGCTATGTTAAATTACCAGAGGGTAATTCTTATGCCATTGAAGATGGTTTACCTATTAAAAATGGTGATTCCATGGCTATGTTAAATAACCAGATGGTAATTGATAGATAAAGGATAGTATAATAACCCGATCTATCAATAGGATCCCATACATTCTTTTTGTCTCAGATTCCACCAACCGCTCCTGGGAGACCAAGACCTGCTCACGACGGTAACCTGATTCAAAAGGCCTGGGACCCGGCCTGGTAAACCTACAAAAAACGATGGAAAATCACCGTTTTCAATGGGTAAATCACCCATAGATTATCAATTGATCATGTTTGATGGCTATGTGAAAAATTACCAGAGGGTAGACCGGCACCAACAAGTGGGTGGTTCATTAAATTTGGGATCCCCACAATCATCCCAAAAACTGCAAACTGATGATTTTCAAGCGGGAAATAGACAAAAAATGAAAAACACCGAGAAGTGGCATTGTTCAGAAATGGGATATACAAATGGTGGCAAACAACGGTGGACGTGCCGGGACCCAAACCAAATGGCAAGAACTCTATGAGAACTCTATGATAACTCCCCAAGGGGGATGCGATTGGGGGCATGTGCATCCTTGATGATCGCTTAACATAGCGTTAAAATGAGGTCCTGTGGCAAAACCCAACATACATAAACCATCATAAACCCGCATAAATCGGGGTCTGTCAGTCTTAACTTCCCCCCAACAAGTTGACTTTTATTCCCCCAGAAGGAATAGATTATTTTTGGCTTTACCAGTGGACATTATTGATGATGGCTAGAGGAAATTCTACGTCCTACATCCAGATCAATGATCATCAAATTTCCACAAAATGACCAGTCATCATTTTTTGGAACGATAATAAAACTAGAAAATTCATGACTGGTCATTAAGGGGTTATATATGTGATTGCTTGTATCCCTATTCATGACCAGTCATGTAAATGGGTTTGTCTGAAAATAGGGTATATTCCCAATTATAGCCATTTAATAGGGATAATGATCATTAACCATTGGGTTTAGGGGTACACTATTTTCAGACACACCCAAATCTTTCATGGATTCCATGGATCATCCTTCAGGTTTGGGTCGAATCTTTTTCGGCAGAATCTCCGGACTCTGGGGAATCACACAGTCAGAGGGTGCCTCCCAGTTGTAAGCTGGTTTACAACTAACATTAGCTATATAACGGTTATTTAAATATAATATATACCAGTTATATTGTAGGCTATATTAACTAACATTAGCTATATTTAATTTTACAACTCTGGTTATTTAACTAACAATTATATATATATATATATATATAGTTATATTAGCTATTATACAACTAACAATTATATATACCCTCTGGTTATTTAACGGTTTGCCATGGAAGCCATGGCCCATTGAAATAGATGATTTGAAAACAGCTATAAACCTCCATTTATTTCAGGGATTTTGCATGGCTATGTTAAATAACCAGAGGGTATATATAATATATATATGGTTAAATTAATTCACTAAGCTGAAATGTTGGGCTAGTCCAATAGGGATACTTCCCCAAATCCCAAGCATCATGAAACCAGGGCTCGGGAGAACAGGGTAACCGGTCCTTATGGCATTTACCCAGAGATGTACTATAAACGACCAATGATATGGTAATATGGTAATATGGTATTTAATGGGGATATAAATGGGATTAAAGCAACACAAATGGGGATATGAAAATGGGAATATACCCTCTGGTTATGTCTAACACAGCTATTGAAAATGGCCCAGTTGAAATAGTGGATTTACCCATTGAAAATGGTGGATAATTCCATAGTTATGTAAACGTTTACCAGAGGGTACCTATTGATGTCATGCATACCGACTTAGCTAACGAACTGGGGCACCACGCTTTTTCATAATTGGCATGTTAATCAACATTCACCAATCAAGCAATGTGTTCATTCATTTTCAAAATGGTGGTTTTCCAAAACTATATATTAGATTACCAGAGGGTATTTTCCCCATTATGTCCCCATGTTCTTCTTGAATATATCCACATCAGATCACCATATCATGGGAACCATTGAGATCCTCAAGGATTCCATCATTTTCCTACAGATTCCCTCAAGAAATCACCAGTTTCATCGAGTTTCACCATGACCCACTCAACAAACACCACCCCCCCCTGGCCACGGCCCGCCAAGGCCGCCAAGGCCAAGTCGCCTGGTAGAGCTGCGAGGGACCGCAGGCAGCGTTCTAACATCTCATGGCGTCCGGCACTCGCAAGGACCTTGGCTGCTGCGGACATCAATGGGGAAGATCATCTATAAAATGACATAGCCATGGTGGTATCCCAATAGCTGGATGGTTTATAATGGGAAAATACAATCTATCAAATGCTCCGTTTATGGATGATTTACCGATGTTTATACTAAACATGCAGGGTGGGGCCCCCAGTCGAGCGATAGAGTTCAGTTGCCGAACAGAAAAGTGGCTGAATTCGATTGGGTTTATGGTAGATATTTCACGAACTAGTTAATTTAACGGAGGTTATAATGGTTTATAACCATAACTGGGGGGGCCCATCCTGTAAGGAAAGAATAAGTATCAGGAGCATTATAAATAAGACATCCTCATTTGGGTAATCCTCATTACAAATAGGAAAGGACCAATAATCCTCATTTTGGACAAAAATAAGCTATATATATATATCATCATACTATTATCATTTACTAAACTACCTATATGATCCTATATGTAAGCATCTATATTCCAATAATGTCATGGTATTCCGAATATCAGATCGTTTACAACAGCTTGGTGGGGCCAGCTCGATGAACTCCCAATTCCAATGGATTCAAAACTCAAAACTTCTGGATAAATTCACCAGCCATAGCCCAAAAAATCATTAAACATCATGATATAACCACCATTCATCCACCATAAAACTGGGTAAATTTTATAAATTTTCACGTTCACCTGAATTGTTGGGCCATAAAAGGGGATGATTTCCCACAATCTAACCATCATGAAACCAGGGCTCGGAGGTCGAACAGGGCAACCGCTTGAACCAGCCATTTAGGGAGGGAACTTCCGCCCCCAACAGTTCAGACGAAGTTTAGGAGCTGATAACTTGGCCCAAAAATGATGTGAATCCAAGTTAACCCCAAAAATGATGTGAAAAATATTGATGATTTTGAAAAAGAGTGGGGAATATGATGTGGATGTAATTTGCTGCACGAAAAAAATCATCACGCTATATACAGATGATTATAATTTTATGGACATTAGCTCGTGGCCCAACAGTGCACACTTGTAGCATCTCATCATCTCGATACCCCCGGATCCTTCAACCAGGGTTTCTTCATCGCCGTCAAATCGCCATGTTGGTTGGCTATCCCCATCTTTGTTTGGGAGTACACCAGAAACTCAACGTGGAAGCCAAAAAAAAAAGTGTTGGTTGGTTCATCTTGGTTCTATGTTTGTTTTCAATCAAAACAAAAAAGAAAAAACAACCAAACGGGCTTGGAGGATTGAAACGTTTGTAAGGTTGGAATAGTAAAATCTCGCGGTGCTATGACTATGACATTATGACCAACCACAATGGGGGACAACCAGCGATAAGGTAAAATGACGAGCAAAATCTGCCGATGCCTATGTCATGGCCAAGCTTGGACAGGCTAAGCTCATCTTACGTCTGGTTTTTAAAGGATTTGCTGAACAAAAAAGTACAATCCCCTACTGGAGATATATGATATATGTCCAAAAATGGAGTCAGATCTTACATGACCTTACCCTAAATGGTAATTTGTAACATAGCTATTGAACATGGCCCAGTTGAAATAGTGGATTTTCCCATCAAAAATGGTGGATCTTTCCAGTTCGCTATGTTAGTCATTACCAGAGGTTATAAGCCCATTAACTATAGATAAATCACCAACAAAAAACCATAGTTATTGGACTTATGTGCACCAACTTAGCGTTCTCGAACTGGGGCACCATCCTGTACCCAACAAATGGGGAAACAAAGCCACTGGGATTTTGAGGTTTTTCCCAACATCCCATCACCATCTGAGTGGCGAGAATTGGTGCTTCCAAACGCGAAGGTAGCTCCTGCTGGCGGCAGAAAGTTTTACCCTCTGGTTATGTCAAAATAGCTATTGAAAATGGCCCAGTTGAAATCGTGGATTTTCCCATGAAAAATGGTGGATCGTTCCATAGTTATGTTACAGTTTACCAGAGGGTACTATGAACATCTACTAAAATTGTGGGTAAATTTACTATGAACATCCATCACAGTACAATCTATTGTAAGTTTTGACCAGCAATTGTGTGAGTAAAATGATAGTCAATGACCCATGTGTGCCAACAGTTGATTTGTTAATGAGTTTATGCTCATGTGTCAAACTGTTAAACTCCATTCGGGGGGCAATTTCACATCATTTATCCTCATTCACATCTATTAACATCTATTAACATCTCTTAAACACAGAATTCACACCTTTTCAACATGTTAAATCACCATTTTCCTATGGTTTTCCTATGCTTTTCCTATGTTTTCCTATGGTTTGCTAGGTCTCCGGCCTCGCGCGCGTCCAGCTGCAACTCATCCGCCGCCTCCTGGCCTTG